GGAGGGGGGGGGCCCCCGGCTCCCCCGGCCACAACGGGCTCCCCGGCCGGGACGGGAAGGACGGCAAAGACGGACAAAAGGGAGAGAAAGGCGAGCAAGGTTGGTGAGGAGGCTTTGGGAATGTCTCCGCTGGAGTCCGCGGCAGCCCCAAGCCCCTACAAGCCCCGAGCGGGTGGGCAGGGGGTCACAGGGCGCCCCCGAGGCACCCACCCGCGGGACGCGGCACGAGACGCCAAGCACCCCGCACGCAGGGCTCAGCCCCATCCTCCCTTTTCAGGGCAGTTCCCATCTACTGCAAGCACGAAACCCAGCCTCCGATAGCCTCTCCTGAGCTGCGGGGTAGGAAGACACCTTAATAGGAACCAGATACAATATTTATGGGGGTCAACAGAAAGACTACCATTGATTTCCCTGAGTGCCCAATAAACTCCAAATCTCTCCCAGCTGTCTTCAGATAAACACCATGCCTCTTCTTACTGAACAAGGGAGAGCACAAGACAGGGAAAAAAAGAGGCCAAACGAACCCTGTGGCTGGGAGTAACGACCCTTTCTCGAGGACAGTGCAGGGGGAGGAACTGCTTTCCTTGCTGCACTGCCTGCACTTGGGCTGCTCTCAGAAAGTCAAAGGGTTTTGTTTGGTTGTTTCCTCATTTTTCATGAATGAGGTTTTTCAGACACTTGCTCGCAGCGGCTCTGCACACACAGAACAGCAGTGTCTGAAGGAGCGCTTGCCCACGGTCTCAGAGAGGACTGCAGCATGGTGTGGAGCGGGTTTTGAACTTGCCATCTCAGGTCTTCGGGATGGTGAACTAATCTGGCCTTTCCTGAAGAGCCCTGCAACACTGCTGGGTGCAGATAACTCTGCCATTCGCCCTCCCTTCCTGCCGAGCACCAGGCACGTACTCCTGACGCATCAAAGGACATAATGTCCCTATGCCTCCCCATGCAACCGTGCCCTCCCTTAGGGGACACAACCCTCATTTCATGATGCTGAGCTGTCCCTTCTGTATTCTGGGCCACTGGGTAGCAGCCGTCAGCACAGTGCAAACATAACCTCTTCAACCCCAACTCTGTCCCCTAGGTGAACAAGGCCCCAAAGGCGACAACGGCGAAATAGGAAGCCGTGGAACTGAAGGCCCAAGAGGGTTTCCAGGAACCCCAGGGATGAAAGGGGAGAAGGGAGAAGGTGCCTACATTTACCGCTCTGCCTTCAGCGTGGGGCTCGCGGGCAGAGCCCCTCACCCCAACGTCCCCATCCGATTCAGCAAGATCTTCTACAACGAGCAGAGCCACTACGACGCGACGACAGGCAAGTTCCACTGCAGCATCCCCGGCATGTACTATTTCGCCTACCACCTCACAGTGTACCTGTCGGACGTCAAGGTCAGCCTGTACAAGAAGGACAAGGCAGTGCTCTTCACCTATGACCAGTTCCAGAAGAACAACGTCGACCAAGCAAGCGGTTCTGTGTTGCTTCACCTCAACGCCGGGGAAGAAGTCTGGCTTCAAGTGTATGGGGAAGGGGAAAACAACGGCGTCTATGCCGACAACATCAACGATTCTACTTTCATGGGATTCCTCCTTTACCCGGACTTGGATCTCCATTAAAGTAGGAGGTTGTGCACGGGAGAGGACGCGGTGGCTTAACCCCAGAATTGAGCTCTAGGGCGCTATACCTATACTATACTTCTTGGCAATTGCAGTACCCACAAAGGACAATTTTCCAAGGGTGGAGTCCTATCTCTGGGGAAATC